AGGCGTGAGACGGCAAGGACTAACGCATGCAGTTTAAAAAGTTTCATAAAGTAAATGAAGACTCATATCGAAAATTCGCTTCTATGTAGTTTGCGCTACTGAGAGCGCAGTTAAGAAAATCAAAAATCAAATAAAAATACGCAACATTTCAAACAGGACAGTTGAAGAGAACATGCTACATGAAATGGGGCTTGAAGCTATGTATTGGATTTAACCGGCTGAGTAAAAGATCTAGTGACGGATTCTGGTGAACACGGTAATGAATCTTCGGTTTCTGTAAGCGTCGGTTTATTTCTTGGCCAGCTAAGTGACTGTCATTTCTGTTCCAATATTTAGTCCTGACCAAGGTAAATTATGTTGCGGGCCAGCAACTTTCCGCGGACCACCGGTTCGTAAACGCTGCCACGTTCCATCTAAGCTTCAACGCACTTCTGAAAGAGAAGCAAACGAAAAGAAAAGAAACAGCTTGGGTTTACCGAAGGGAAATAAAATATCCAAGAAACACAACGCAATTGTTCACCTTGTCGATGCGGCGTCATTGCAAGTCGTTTCGCAACTTCAGATGTGTGAACCTGCTTATTACGTAAAAGATAACTTAGACTGTAAAGTTACGGAAAAAATTACAAGCGAATGCTCTTTGCCTGGGAGATAAGAGTGTTCAATTACACTTCGTTTCAATTATCGTGACAAGCAATTTACGTCATTACAACGTCATAGGTCCCACTGTGTTTCAAATATCAGGTGGTTCATGGATTACGCCAAGGGAAAGTACTTACGTTTTAATCTCAGTTTAAAGGCCAGTAAATCGTCAAAATAAGACGCTGAGCTGGAATACAGACTCATGCAAGGGCACTCATTCGACCTGCGAACTACCGTCAGCGAGATTTTAAGTAAAATACCTGCGACGTATTCGGCCCGGTAGGTAAGTGATGTGCGCATACGTAACCCCATGTTCCTGAAGAACATCGGCCTTCGGTACAGAGATTCCCCACACGTGTAGTTGCTCTCAGCTGTTTCCATGTTCTTAGTATCATCATTAATTTATTTTGTTACGTTTTGGTGTTATGAAGTATATTATCCGTAAAGTTGACATCAAATTAGAACAAGCACGAAACTTTTCGGTCTGCTAGTAGCCCAGCACGTGACTTTAAATCTCGCGGACTGTAGGTGAAAGAGAGAGAAATCTCCTCACTTCTCAACGTGACCGACTTCCATGAAAAGTTTTCGACATATTCCCTGGTTTATGGAATCCAAAAGTTAATTGCTGATTCACAAGAGTCGGTCACTGAACCATATCGTGAGCCAGTTAACTCCAGTCCTCTCACATCTTCACACCCTATTATTTTATCTCCCCATTTATGCCTAGATCCCCTAAAAGTAATTTAAAGTGAAAATAGCGCGTTATGCGATGTTCTAATTTTCTTCATCCACACAGTTACTTCCTCTCACTCATCCCACACTCTTCTGACACTCTTTATCTAGAGATTAAGTTTCGTATATGAGATGTACAAAACGAAAGTTTTGTAAATTTAAATCTTTAGGTTTTTACATAGAATATGGGATTATAAATGATCCCGAATTGAATGTTGCAAGCCCGCTTGTTATTTTCATAAATTTGCTTTAAACTGGTGAATTGTTGCAATGTTTCTGGCTATCTGTACCTACCACTACGAGAACACTCCTTGTCTCATAGCTGCCATCTTATTAGTATCTGTCACACTCCACGACGCAAAATCCCGGAAGACATTCACATTCATACTTGTCGCCGTGAGACCCGGAAATATCGCCTGAATGAGGATTGTTGTCAAAGACCTAAGCGTCCAGTATCATCGATTGGGCAAGTGCTTTATTTCTGCGCAAGAAACATGCCAAGCATGCCATCACGCTTAGATAGTCTGATTCCATCAGCAGCTGGTTCAATGCTGACTCAGCGGTAATGACAATGACCCTTGAAGTGACAATTTCTGACTTTCGAAAGCCTAGCAATTGACTGTTTATTAACAAATGTCTTAACAAGAAACACACTTCCAAAGCAGACAGACAAGTTCACAGTCTCTGAGCAAATGTACCGTCCAAACGGACACACGAATAAAACCATAAAATAGACGTATCGTGGCTGAGTGTTCAAACGAACAGCTGATACATAAATCATACACTGACAACAGTTTCGTTTCTCCAGCATTAATTCTTTAATTTATTTATGAACCTCGGGAAATCTGTACTTTGGACCAGTGTTTTTAAATCTTTTCCACCTGGCAAAATACAAAAATACAGTTCGCATCCTCATATCGCACCACATTCACGGCAATCTACAAAAAATCTTTAACATGTGTAAAACATGTCAAGAAAGCTTAATAAATGACAAATTAGAGATAAAATAGTAAGATAAAAATTACTAGTTTTATTGTTGATATTAATGATGATAGAGAAAATTATAAATTTCCTATAACTTTCAAACCAGGTTTAATAGAAATCGATCTGATGGTTAAAAAGTTAATTTAGAACATGGACAGACAAACAAGTACATCGTATACTGAGTGTATCTTTCCGTACAGACCGGAAGGTATTTAAACTAAAATATACAAGCTTATCACTTATTCAAGGAGGCAGACACTCCCTTTAACATTTTCAGCGAATAACTTAATGCAAGATTAGAAATATACACGATTCAGCTAACAATGCATTCAAATTCCAGTCACGAACACTTTCATTATTTTCATTTACCACGAACCATGTATTCTCCACTCTCCCTTCGTTTATACGTACTGCATGTCTAAGGAATGTTCAGTGTCCCAGTAAACAGACACGATGTGTACACTAAAGGAGTTTTACAATATTTGAGGTGTAACTCCTTCGTTGAAATTTTAAATAAACATTACAGCATAATTGCACAATCTGCCTCATGTTTGTTCACAAATTACGCTCAATATTTGTTGAATCGAAAGAAAACGTCTGTGTATCTCGCACTCTTTTTAAATCAAGACCTCGTGAAAGAAACTACTCCCGATTCTTATTAGAAGATAACTGCTTATGTACACAGTACTTTACAAAACGTGGAGCTGTTCTGAATAAACATAAATGATTATTATCATTTTGAAATTACTATATGTTACAGCATGTTAAAACTAGTGGTCCAAGGGCCCCATCCGGCCCGAGACTACTTGTAAACAGGTCCGTAAAATTACTTGTTTATTTGTTGCCAGTTACTAAGTAAAGTCGTTAATAATCTACGAACGAACCAAAGCAGTAAGCGAAGACTTTAGATGGCAAGCCATGTTTCGTTCTTAGGAGTTTATCTTGAATACCTTTGCACTGTCAGGCCATGCCCTTGTACACTCGTGCTATAAAATATGAATATCCGTGTACCCACGCGCCTTTGAAGTTAGATTCCGTTCTGTTCGGAACAGTCATTTATGATTCTTCCATTTTCCTTCATTTCATGGAACTATAAGAGTCTATTGAATAAATTTTTTCTTGGATATTATCCATCGTCTAGTAAATATAAAACGTAAAACGACGTTTCGGAGATAGGGATTAGCTCTATCTAGTGGGCCCAACTGTGTAGGAACCTGAAGACGGAGATAGAGTCCCATCTCCGAAACGTCGTTTTACGTTTTATATTTACTAGACGATGGATAATATCCAAGAAAAATTTTATTCAATTGACTCTTCACCATCGTCAAGAAGTTTTAGATTTGATATATAAGAGTCTACATATTAATTTCTTCGCCGGAATCCCATTTCTTATCTACTGTCCTATAACTAACTAACTAACCAGATGGCTTACCGAACCCGAAGGTTCATCACCGAATTAACCAAAGCACTCCACCGGACCCTGTCCTGGGCCAACAAAATCCAGTCTCCTTCAACTCCTATCTCCCATAGATCCCGCCTGAGATTTTCCTCCCATCTACGTCTAGGTCTCCCCAGCGGCCTTTTCCCCTCAGGCTTCCCAACCAATACCCGGTGCACACCTCTTGTCCCATCTACTGTTCTATAACAAGAATTAAATGTTTGCATCACCGTGTGACGATACTCAGCCTAGGAGTCAAAGGTCTACTTGTCGCCCTGTGTTGTTTTAACGCTCCAGAACTGTCAAGAATTAAATGTTTGCATCACCGTGTGACAATACTCAGCCTAGAAGTCAAAGGTCTACTTGTCGTCCTGTGTTGTTTTAACGCGCCAGGACTGTCATGATGATGAACATACCGACAGTAATGTGGATGTCTGCTGGGATGTTCCGCCGTGACGCTGACTGACGTTTCATAGGACCTGCAGACAACCAGCCATCTTCATACTCGTTGTCGCGAGAACCTGAAATCAAACCAAAACCATAATAGCATGTTCTGAATAACTTTTTCAACCTACTGACTGTACATACAAGATACTGAACTTGTGGGACGAACGTCTGATTTGAATAATGAACACCGTTGTGTTCCAAAGGATCGATACATCCCAAACTTTTTCTTGAATAAATGAAAGAAATTTCCCTGCACATGCCCACTGAATACATAAGGAAGTTTCCTTTTAGCCTTCTGAGAATTTACGTAGTGCGTAGTATGTGCAGTCTGATACCAGTACGTCCTTCACTCCGAGGAAGGTTGCTCGTTTAAATATGTGAGCTTGTTTCTTAATACGCAGGCCGATTTAAATTGCTTTTCAGACTAAATCCAGTTTTTTCGTGCATTCAGTGTTTGGGAAATCATCCGGCCAAAACAACGACAATATAATTTTGTTTTTACATTGTCCCTTAAAAGTATTTCGGTTGAACGTCGAGGTTGTGGAAGGAGGCAGTGTGGTGTGTCTGAAGCAAATAATTCAAATTTCATGACAGGACGAGGACGAAAACTGAATTCGCGTTTTGCTGTGTGTTCTACAAACGCACTGTGTTATGCTGATGAACTTCATTACTTCAATTTCAAGTCATGTCAATGATGACAACTTTTTGTCGTACACGTGTTTGTCATTTTTTGAAGAAACAGACAATTAAGCCCTTAAACTGAACCTCGGGCTCTTGTCTTCATTGACTGGTGCCGAAGTTTGGAAATGTAAGTGCCTATATCCCAATGACGTGGACCTTTAACACTGTCTCGGCACTCCTTACGAGATTTACGACGTATCAGGAGCAAAATTAATTATAACCTTACTTCTAATAGTTCTGTTTACCTAATGCTTTATACATTGAAGCTTTAGAAAAGAATGACAGGAAGTAACGCGGATATAAGCAGACTTGACCTATTTTAATGTACCGGCCGGATTTGGTCCTGCAGGAACTGGGAAAAACCAAGAAATACCTTGGTCAGTGCATCCAAACTCTGGACAATTACATCGTGGAATTCGTCTTTTCGATTTCTTTTGCCCCAGAATGAAGCACATTCATTGCCTAGTGGTAACTATATGTACCATCCGCTTTAAAATCAACCAAATTCTTACCATTTCATAAATCTTGTAACATCAGACATCAAAGGAATTAATAAGTTGAAAGCATTTCCAGAAAATTATGCGTTACACAGTAACCGCATTTGGGTGTTATTTATAATATTTATAGACATTTTCCTTTCCTGTAGCCATGAATTTGATTTAAATGAAGGTCGCCGTGAATGGGCACTACTCACTATTTATACATTCAGAACAACTGCTTTAGATCACCACGCAGCATATATGAATTGTGTTAGAAATACATCAATCGAATCGGAAGCCATTCCCAGTCTTCTAAACATTGAGACAGGATACTAACTTTTTAATCCTTGTCAATCCAGACTCAACAAAAATCACCCAAAACAAACGGAGCAACGAGTTAGATAAGGACAAACTCTGGAAGAGGTAGATAGCATGTGAAGAAGGAAATGCAGGCAGAGAAAAGATAAACAAAAGATTTCTTCTATCATAATGTTATTTCTCTATCCAAATGTAGGCCTTTAGCAATAAATTGCAATAAGTCTTATAATCAACGGTTTTGCAAACACTTTGTGGTCAAAAACTGCCGACAAGGAAATCAGATACATATTAATAGCTGTGGAAAAGCTGAAGCGAACGAGAAAAATGTAATGCAATGAATACCGAAGACACTGGAAATGATAGTGCACGCCGTTTACATGACGGACTATTGAAGATTGCTTTCTTCTGGGATATACGTCATGTAGTATGGCAGAAGTTTACCTACGTTTCGGAGGTGTTTCTTGCCTCCATCGTCACATCATCAGACACTTCGGTTAGCTTCTACGAGGCTACACGGTGCTACATCTCAGAAGACAGCCATCTTCATACTCACCGCCGTGTTAACCAGACGAAATACATTGACTATGCCAGGGATTTAAATGGATATAAGTTCTCCTCGAAAGCAAACCATATTTACGACGCGGTTTAACCAGTTCCAGGACCATAACTGCATGTATGAAGACAAAATGGATTTCGGATCTATGAAATGAAGTCACGGACTCACTGGATGAAAGTGCCCATTTGAAAGTCAACTTATTGTAAGATATCCAGAGGCATATTCATGCACAGCCACGTGCACTTTGCTGTCTATAACGTGTAAATTTGTCCTTCAGGTACACTTCGGTAGCACAAATGCACGCTGCATGAGCTGGCGTCTGAGGCGTGTTTAGTGACTCGGGATTATGTTTATCTTCTGGGAGCACACTTTGGCGGCGTTGCACATTTGGAAATGCGTTCTGTAATTTGGAAGACCATCCGGACGACTGTGCATTCCACTCTGTCTTTCACCGTTGTTTGTTGCTGATACGAATCTGTAATTGCAGTCGTATTCTTTTTCTGCCCACATGCTAACTCCTACCCGTCACTGTCAAGTGAATTAGCTTCCGAATTATGTACCTGGAGAAACCCTGAAAGAAACAGTAACGGAACTCGGTTCAAGTTTTACGTCCACTAAAATCCTCTCGGGCGGTCACCTCCAACCTTCGGATTCGATCATCCAGAAGGCTAATTATTAATTCTGTTATAAGGTCAATCATGTCGTTGGCTGCAGGCCTGACGGTCCTGTTTTCATTACGGACAAGAACAGGAAATTTTAGTTTCTCAATCCCGTCAGGCTGCGTTCTATCCAGTGGGTTGTGAGTGCAAACTGGCCGCAGCGTGAAGCTACCGAGGGCTAGAATGCGATCGACTTCCTACAAGGGCCTCCAGGAAGTGTTACCACTCTACCTGTACCTCATCTTTCCTCGCTGACTTCGGATCCTCGTGTTTAAATGTTGCCGGAAGTCTTTCGCAATAAACACGATGTTTTAATTGCATGTTGCGGGAGACTTGATGAAGAAACTCTGTCTGGGCTTTGGCCTTGACCACGGTGAATAACATAATCATCATCACGCATTAACAGAAGGAATGATTGTACGTTTTTTATCACGAAGAAGAGAGACGGGAATTCACCGCGTTGATGAACGAGAAGTGGTCACAGATGTAATCGCGATGTTATTGTCTGTTAAGATTCGTCTTCTGGAGTGTTTTTAAAAAGCGTGGGTTTTGCCTAGTATTCTGTTTTCAAAGCCTAAATCTAACATCTAGACTGAAGTGTTCAAACAGACGTTGCTTTGTATAACCCCAATTTTAGTTCATTTGTTTCTGCAACTACAGGCCTACAAAGAAAATGTAGGCTACAGAATGCAATTGTATCGCCAACATCTCCACAGGCTCTGTCTGGGTCTCCCCTTCGTTTGTTCTTCGGTGCCATTCATTCGATAAATCGCCTATCAGATCTTCTTGTTGGTCTGTCCCGCCATCTGATCACAAGTATTGGGTGGGAATCATCGGTGTGGTAAATTTCGACAAAATTGTTCAAATTATGGTCAGTTATTCTACATTCTTGAGATAGATGGCTCTTCGCCCTGATGGCTGTGGCAGCAAACTCCTACCAGACTATACGACGCTTCAGACTCAGCGCCGTGAGAACCTGAAATCGTACCTAATATTACTTGGTTTTCGGACTTTGTCCATCGCCTAACATTCTGAACAGAACACGATTGGAATGAGCGAACACGAGAGCGACAAGGCAACAGGAGAGGGGACATTCAATTACAAGCAGTAATCTGTTCTTCACGAAACTCTAGTAGTGTTAAGGAAGCCGAGGTTTGGAAAAGTACAGTCAGGAGGGGGAGGGGAGGGTGAAGGGTAAGCTATGGAATGCATCAACACTTGGTTGGAAAGTCTCCACCCACTTCGAAGACCCAAGCCTAGTTGAGGGAAAACTACTGTAGTGAGATTCCAGGTTCTCACGGCTACGAGTATGAAAATGACATGCCTTCTGGTACACTGCGCCTTAAGTACCTATTTATTGTGAGGAACTTATTTTTCCTCCTATTTGATACTCCGTAGATTTCTGTCTTCTGGGTTGTTGCGCTGTGTAGTCTGATAATCGTCCTGATGACGGAGGCAGTATGACCTCTGAAACGTTGGTAAACATCGACCAGACTACACAGCGCAATAACCCAGAAGACAGAAATCTTCATACTCTGATGACGGAGGCAGTATGACCTCTGAAACGTTGGTAAACATCGACCAGACTACACAGCGCAATAACCCAGAAGACAGAAATCTTCATACTCTGATGACGGAGGCAGTATGACCTCTGAAACGTTGGTAAACATCGACCAGACTACACAGCGCAATAACCCAGAAGACAGAAATCTTCATACTCTGATGACGGAGGCAGTATGACCTCTGAAACGTTGGTAAACATCGACCAGACTACACAGCGCAATAACCCAGAAGACAGAAATCTTCATACTCTGATGACGGAGGCAGTATGACCTCTGAAACGTTGGTAAACATCGACCAGACTACACAGCGCAATAACCCAGAAGACAGAAATCTTCATACTCTGATGACGGAGGCAGTATGACCTCTGAAACGTTGGTAAACATCGACCAGACTACACAGCGCAATAACCCAGAAGACAGAAATCTTCATACTCTGATGACGGAGGCAGTATGACCTCTGAAACGTTGGTAAACATCGACCAGACTACACAGCCCAACAACCCAGAAGACAGAAATCTTCACAGCGTCGATAACTTAGAAAGTATCGCCCTGATGACGGGGGCAGTATGACCTCTGAAACGTTGGTAAACATCGACCAGACTACACAGCGCAATAACCCAGAAGACAGAAATCTTCATATATATAGTGAGAGTTCATTGTAATCAAATCGTTCCTTCAGGACAAGAAGCATTAGGTAGGCTGTGTAACGGATCTTTGCTTTTCGTTTTGAACCCTCTTGTTCTATTGAAGACTCTGCTTTCATACAAACCTCGTAGGATTCTTACCTGGGAAATGTCTGTGGATCTTAGGGAGCAGAAGTGGGGGTACACAATGGGGACAAAGTCAGTGGAAAAGTACCTGAAATATTCCGTCTTTAAGGTAAATTCCTTGGGCAAACTGAAATCCGGCAGATAAAGTTAGCCCGATGTTGTCGATGCTGTAGGCGGTTTCTCCGAAACGTTGGTATTCTACTG